GAGTCAGAGAATAAGGAGTTCAAAGTCACCCACTCGTCACCCTCGTATCAAATTTGAGGCCAGCCTAGGCTACATGAGGTTGTTAAAAGAACAAGAGAGGGGCTGGAGAGACGACTCAGAGGTTAAGAGCAAGGGCTGCTCTTCCAGAGGTCCTGAGTTCAATTCCCAGAACCCATGTGACAATTGTATCTCCAGCTCCAGAAGATCCAAAGCCCTCTTCTGGCCTCCAAACATAGTGCATGCACATGTTGCACAGATATGCAAGCAAGCAAACACCAATAGACAGAGAAATAAAATATTTTTCAATTTTCTTGATTAAATTCTGTGTAGCCCTGGCTGTCCTGGAACTCCATCTATGGACCAGGCTGGACTGGAACTCACAGAGATCCTCCTGCCTCTGCCTCCTAAGTGCTGGGATTAAAGGCATGTGCCACCACCACTTGTCCACTTGCTGCTCTTGCAGAGGTGGCAGGTTAGGTTCCTAGCACCCAGATGGCATCACATGGCTGTCTGTAATTCCAGTTCCAGGGAATCTGATGTTCTCCTCTGACTTCCAAGAGCACCAGGCATGCACATGGCACACATATGTATGTGCATACACATCAACAAATAAAAAGAAGGAAGAGAGAAAGAGGGCACCTCAGTACTAGGTGGTGCACACCTGTAGTCCCAGATGAGGCAGGAGGATTGCTTGAATCCAGAGTTCAAGATTAGCTTGAACAACATAGTGAGAACCTAAGTAAAGGACAGAGAGAGAGAGAGAGAGAGAGAGAGAGAGAGAGAGAGAGAGAGAGAGAGAGAGGAGAGAGCGAGCATGCACTCTGTGGGATTGTGGGACTGGACAGGAGGGAGCAGAGCTCAAGTCCACCACCTTGGGCTCCGGGAGCTCCCAACATACCTGCTCCCTGACCCCTCCCTGTCTAGTGAAAGAGCAAGGCAGGCATCCATGCACATCAGGTCACAAAGAGGAGCCCGAAGCCACCTGGGGTCACCAGCCACCCTTGTAATTAAAGATGCACATTAAGGACCTGCCACCATTAAACACCTATTAAGCAGGAAAATAAAATCCAGAAGGAAAGTGAGCTGTGAGGTGTACAAACTCCTCATTGAGGCCCTCCAAGAGGACCAACAAAACGGCCTTTGCCCTGGCTACACAGCCTTGGAGAACACACCCTGAGGAAGGAGTCTAAGAGGAAAGAAAGAGAAATGTGTCTGAAGCTGCTGCGTCCTGAAAGCTGGGAGGCCAGGTTTCCACCAAGAGAAGCCGAGAGTCGCACGTCTCTGCCTCACTGCGCCCAGACTTCCCTCATCCTCCCCACCTTAGGCTTTAGTACAGACTGTTCCTACATCTTAGAACACCCCTCCAGAGTTTGCCTTCAGAGTCCATGCCTGGCAGATTCACTGCTGAGTCCCTGAATGCCACACAAGGACTCAGACATGGCTCTCAGCAGACAGCAGCTGAAGGCAGGGCACCTTACGTGACTGTGAGGGGACCTGGGGGTAAAATGTGAAACCCTAGACATCTGAACATGCCCCTTAGAATTATACAAGAAACATGGCATTATGAGATCCAAAGTCACATTTTAAGTTTTTTGTTTTTTTTTTTTGAGACAGGGTTTCTCTGTTTAGCTTTGCGCCTTTCCTGGAACTTACTTGGTAGCCCAGGCTGGCCTCGAACTCACAGAGATCCGCCTGGCTCTGCCTCCCGAGTGCTGGGATTAAAGGCGTGCGCCACCACCGCCCGGCTTACATTTTAAGTTTTAATTACCATGCCTACGAGATCCATGAAACAAAAATGCCTGTGATCTGCAAACCTTGCTCAAGGACAGATAGTTCCTCAAATGCTGGAGGCTGTTGTTTATGGGAGATGACAAGCCACATGTTTTTCACTCCCCTAAACAAGTTTGTTTGACCCATCTGCACCGGATGTGCTTGATCACATGTGGGCGGGAGGTTCACAGGCAGGAAATACATCAGGATGTACGCTTGCCCCTGATTGGATGTAGGCTGGAAGTATGTCAGGATGTATGCTTGCCCCTGATTGGACCTGATGGGAAATACTTAGACTGCTGCAAACCATTTTCTGGAAACCCAGAGATGATGGACCTGGCCAGAGCCCATTCACCTGGCCAGTATTTAATTAAAGTTTGCTCCAAATTTGGCTTTAAATTACAGTAGTGGGTCAGGTGGTGGTGGTGCATGACTTTAATCCCAGCACTTGTGGGGCAGAGCCAAGTGGATCTCTGTGAGTTCGAGGCCAGCTGGTCTACAGAGCGAGATCCAGGACAGGCACCAAAACTACACAGAGAAACCCTGTCTCAAAAAAAAAAAAATTACAGTTGTGGTCTTATTCTTGACTGGTGGGAGTAACAGCTTCCCACTGGGTGAAGTCACCAATATCAAGAATTCATTTTGGGACCTGGGCATGGTGGCACAACACCTGTAATCCCAGCACTCAGGAGCCCGAGGCAGGAGGATTACTGCAATTATAGACTACATAGTCATTTCCAGGACAGCTGAGCTGCAGTGTGAAGTGTAACAGAGCCCCTGACCAAAGTGGGAAAAAAGCTGGCAGAAGACTCAGTAAAGACGGCGGGAACCCGCCTGACTCCATTTTGAAGGCAGGAGCCATTATGCTGTATTGTTAAGTTTCTATTTACTGTGAGAGCTGAGTTGCTCTCTCTTTCCTGGAACCTGACCTTCCCCAACCTGTGACCTTGACTTGTTTTTGAGAATACACTTACCCTCCCTGACCCTCCCTAATCACATGATAACCATGTGATTTCCCCCCCATTTCCTTATTGCCCCATTGTCTCCCTTCTGTAAGACTACTTAAAACTCCTTAAAAGGGGCCCACGAAATGGATTTGGGGCTGTTCTCTTTAACCCGATTTAAAAGGCAGCTGCTGGCCAGTTCTTGGGTACACCCCAATAAAAACCAAGCTTGCTTCAGATTTGTTCAAATTGTGGTAGTGGTCTTATTCTCGATGTTGGGATTAACAATGGCTGCAGAGCAAGGCTGAGGATCCAAGTTCGTTCATCCCCAGAACCCTCAGGAAAGGAGAGCTGACCCCCTGAATGTTGTCTTCTGGTCTGGAAGATCCACTGCGGTAGAAGTAGGGTGATGGAGGAGATCAAGGTTGGTGGGACAGAGGCTTAGAGCAGGGTCACAAGGCCACACAGGGATCTGGGACAGCTCAACACATGCTCCTTCCAAGGCTGACAGTTTGGACTTTTTTTTTTTTTTTTTTTTTTTTTTTTTGGTTTTTCGAGACAGGGTTTCTCTGAGTAGCTTTGCGCCTTTCCTGGAACTCACTTGGTAGCCCAGGCTGGCCTCGAACTCACAGAGATCCGCCTGCCTTTGCCTCCCGAGTGCTGGGATTAAAGGCGTGCGCCACCACCGCCCGGCCAGTTTGGACTTTTGAGAGAGGGTCTCACTATATACCTCTGGCTTATCTGATACTCACTGTGTAGACCAGGCTAGCCTCAAACTCACAGAGATCTTCCTGTCTCTGCCTCGCAAGAACTGGAATTAGAGCTGTGTGCCACCATGCCTGGCTTCCAAGGTTGGTAGAACATCAGAGAAGTGATACCAACCATTTGGATGCCATGGGCTCCCCAATGATCCCTCTTTTCAGAAGTGGCCCTTGAGTGGCCTGTGCTTCTTCCTCTCTACCCAGTGTCTCTCTTTCTCCCATAGCAGCAGTATCCTCAGTTTTAGCTGAACATATGATTGCTTGGAAGAAAGTGATTTCCCAGGTTCCCTTGCAGCTGTTTGGACCACATGACTAAATTCTGTCCAATGAGATATAAGAGGAAAAGACACACAGTAGAAGCCTCTTTACCTTGGTTTCATTTTCTGCAGTTTTAGTTGCCAGTGGCTTATCAGGGTCTGAAAATATTAAATAGAATTTTTCAGAAATAAATAATTCATACTTTTTTTTTTTGGAACCTGTCCTGGAACTTCCTCTATAGACCAGGCTGGCCTCGAACTCACAGAGATCCACCTGCCTCTCCCTCCCGAGTGCTCAGATTAAAGGCATCACCACCACCGACAGGCAATTCACACCTTTTAAGTTATGCACTATTCTGAGTAACAAAGTAGAAGTCAGTCCGCTTCATCCTTTCAAGCATATCCACAGTGTATAGGCTACCCTCCTGTTAGTAATTAAGTAGCTACCTTGGTCATCAGATGGACTGTCAGAGTATCACAGCTCTTGTATTCAAATAGCACCTGCTGGGCTGGAGAGATGACTCACCATCAAATAGCATTTACTTGACTCAATAATGACCCCAAAAAGTCATGGTGCATGTGAGGATTGGGAGAAAGCAATCTCTCTCTCTCTCTCTCTCTCTCTCTCTCTCTCTCTCTCTCTCTCTCTCACACACACACACACACACACACACACACACACACACACACACACACATACACACACACACATACTACTTAGATGAGGCTGGTCTTGAACTTCTGATCCTTCTGCCTCCATCTTGTTGGTACTGGGACTATAGGCATGGACTACCACACCTGATTTAATGTGTCCTGCCTTCCCTCTGTTCTCATGCCACTAAATTCAACACAGAAAACTCACCAGACTCAGGGATCTCCACATGCCAAGCAAGTGGTGTGACCTCTGATCCAGTTCAGTTCAGATACTCTCTACCTGGACAGGACATGAGGTCCCACTAGTTGGGGGTTTGACTCCCCAAGATTGTTCTGTTCTAGATGCCAGCTGCCAGCTTCAGGTTGTTTGTGCATACAACCAGGTTTGTAAGGATTCGGTCCTTAATTACGTCATCAGCCTTCAACAGCATCCCAGCCTAAAAAGCAGGCGGGCCCTCTGTGCGTCCCTCTCTTTTCTTTCTGCTCCTTCCTTCTGTCTGTCTTCTTCTCTCCCTCTCTCTCCCCCTTCCCTTTCTCTCTCTCTCTCTCTCTCTTCCCTCTCCTCCCCCAATAAAGCTCTAAAAAGGTAACTATGACTCGTGACTCTCCTCCAGCACTCTCCTCTGCCGGCATGACCGCAGCGTGCCGTTTAACCAACATTGGTGCCATGACTCGGATACACCACTGAGTGAGCACCGAGGATCTGCTGTGACCGCTGCCACCTGCCGCCTTCCTCCTCCATCCAGCGAGACCGCCACCTCCACTGGACACCCACACAGCTACCACTACTGCTACCACCATGATTCTTCACAGTGAGTCTGCCGTTCTCGCAGCTGTAGTCTGAGCTATATTCTTTGTTGTCCTCGGGCTGTACTTGCAATGGCAGGCACATTTTTGCTCCTGACGAGGGGGTAAATGGTGTCTAGGGTTCAACAGTGGACCAACTGCAGTACAGCCGAGTCCTCACCTTCCCTTGACGAAGAGGATTGGTGACTTGAGCTGATTCATAGATCTCTCTCCACTTTTTGGGGACACCCAAGATTGGAGTCTGATCCCGGTTTGTTATTTTAATTTTTTATTTTTCTCTCAGCTACAGCCATGAGATAAAGGGGCAGATACGATACATTTACCACCTACATTGGCGGATGGGACGGGCATAACAGCGTCACGGGAACTTCTGCCAGCAAACAGGCAAATAAGAGTTACTTTATCTCCAAGCTTTCTGCTAAAGTTCTAAACCCTTCTCCTTAACCACTTCTGCATCTGACACATGCAACCTTTTCTGTCTGACTTCCGCCGGCGGTGGGCGGGCTCAAATGGGCGGGCTTGGGCGGTTTCAACGACTCGCCCTAACTCACCTTAACTCCACCCACTCATTCTCACGTGCATACAGACAGGGCCCTGATCTTTGCCTTGTCCCTAATTCCAAAAAAACAAATTCTCATGCACCACAAGCTTTTCTCTTCCCAGTTCCCTGTTCTAACTCACTGTTCAGCTAATGGCACAGGACCACCACAGAACCAGAGTCCAGAGAGCATCAACATCTTGTCAAACAGAAAGTTCCCAGCCACAGCCAAGAGGGATACATGTCTCCAGAGCTAATGGATGACAGACAGCATCCCACAACGCCTGTCTACCTCAGAAGACTCCCCCAAGAGCCAACCAACGTCCAATTGTCAGCTGGAAGCAGTTTTTGAGAGGAACGACGTCCCTAGTCCCATCTACCTGCTTTTTTTTTTATAATAAGGGAAAGTCTGGGATGTAAGGATTCGGTCCTTAATTACGTCATCGGCCTTTGACGGCATCCCAGCCTAAAAAGCAGGTGGGCCCTCTGTGCGTCCCTCTTTCCTTGCTGCTCCTTCCTTCTGTCTGTCTTCTTCTCTCCCTCTCTCTCCCTCCCTTCCCTTTCCTCTCTCTCTCTCTCTCTCCCTCTCCCCCCCCCCCCAATAAAGCTCTAAAAAGGTAACTATGGCTCATGACTCTCCTCCAGCACTCTCCTCCGCCAGCATGGCCGCTGCGGGCCGCGGCCAGCCACGAGCAGCACGCTGTTTAACCAACAAGGTTCCCACAACATATTTTTTTTAATTTGTGTGTCGAAGTTGGAGAAATGGCTCTGTGAGTCAAAGTACTTGCTGCTCTTCGAGAGAACCAAGGTTGGGCTCATAGAACCCATAGGTCAGCTGACTATCACCTGTGACTCCAGCTCCAGGGGATCCAATGCTCTCCTATTGGCCTTCATGGGCACCTCCCCTTCCACATGCCATATACTAAAAACATTTTGAATTTGTGTATATGCTATGAACTTGTCATTTTGTGGGTGTGTACATCTGTGTGGGTGCATCTGTGTGCATGCAGGCACATATACACATGGAAGCCAAAAATTGACATTGCACCCTTCCGTAATCACTGTCCAACTTTATTTATTGTCACTGTGTATGTATGATGCTCGTGTGTGGGAGCATGTGCCACGGCACTCCAGTGGCCATCAGAGAACAATGTGTGCAGTCAGTTTGCTCCTTGACTCTTTCTATGGTTCCGGGGATCGAACTCAGGTCACCAGGCTTGTGTGGCAAGGGCCGTTACTTGCCCAGCATCTCTCTGGCCTTCCACTTTTATTCTTTGAGACAAGGTCTCTCACTAAACATGAAATTGAGCCTTGATTGGTTGACTGGCCAATGAGCTTCATTTGGCTCTGCTGCCCACCCCACCCCCCACCCCACCACCACATACACCAGTGATGGGTTTTTAGCAGAGCACCCCCCACCCAGTTTTACATAGATTCTAGGGACTGGAACTCAGGTCCTTGTCTGTGTGTGGCAGGCACTTTACCAAATGAGCCATACCTGCATCCCTAGTGTAGGTGCATGTGCGTGTGTATTCACGTGTGTGGGTATGTGTGTGTGTGTGTTATTTAAAGATAGGGTCTCATGAACTTTCTATGTAGCTAAAATTGTGTTATTGCCAATGGTGAGAATAAGACCACTTCCAGAATTTGAGCCAAATTTGAAGCAAGCTTGGTTTTTATTGGGTACACCTCAACTGCCTCCTGAGTCAGGTTAAAGAGAGTACCCCAGAATCCATCTCCTGGGCCCCTTTTAAGGAGTAAAATCACAGTAGTTTTACAGAAGGGAGATGATGGAGCAATAAGGAAATACAGAGGGAAAAAAATTTTTTTAAAATACAGCATAATGGCTCCTGCCTTCAAAAATGGAGTCAGGCAGGATCCTCAACTGGATTGTGTTCCTGATTCTCCTGCCTTCACCTTCTGAATACTGGGATTACAGATATGCCCAGTTTTTGTTTTTCTTTTATTAATATTTATTTTTATTTTATATGTATGAATGTTTTGCTTGCATGAATGTCTGTGTGCCACATGCATGCCTGGTGCCTGCCTAGTTGCGAGAGGGTGTTGGATGCCCTGGAACTGAAGTTGGTGATGTCTGTGAGTTGCCATGTGGGTGCTGGGAACTGAATTCGGGTCCTCTATAAGAGCATCAACTGCTCTTAACCATGGAACCTTCTCTCCAGGCCCCAGTTTTTAATACTAATTTCTTTCTGTTTGCTTTCTTTTCACAATGACTGCAAGGCAAGGGCTTTATCCTCAGCCCTTCTGCACAATTCATCTGCAGAGCATGTCAGAAAACTCAGGAACTTACTTCAGCTTGATTTATTACAACTAGTATTACAAGGTTGGGGGTGTGGTCAGCAGGAGATTGTTTGTCTAGCAAGGGCTGGCCTCCATTTCCAGCACCGAAGAGGAACAGAGACAAAAGGCTCAGATAGAGAGATGAGAGGGGAGCAGGGCAAGAACAGGGGAAGACACACTGCCCTGGGGGCCTGCCATACCCTGTCCTCTGGGTTCTCAGGGTGACATCTCCATGGAGGCAGGACTGAAGTTCCACACCCTCACTGAAAAGTAGTTAGAGCGACAGGACCAGCATGGGTGTGGACACCAGCTCAGCTTGTCTGCTCAGATTCTCGCTGGCTCCATCTGTAGCACCTCCCTCCAGGGGATGGGACAGACCCCTCCAGGGTCTCATGATCTGTTATCAGACAAGGCTAGGTCAAAGAATTATTGTTATGTCTAGCTCCTAGATGGACAGATGGAGAACAGGATTTAGAACTTCTCTGAGCAGCTTTGGAGAAGAGAGCTTTTAGTTTAGTTTCCATGGCTGCCTTGGGAAGGGAGTTAGAAGCCAGTGGCCATGGTCAATAAACAACATACATAGCATTGTATTGGATGGATAGATGATAGATAGACAGACAGACACACACACACACACACACACACACACACACACACACACACACACACACACTGCATCCTAAGTGTACCTAACTTACCTCCGAGGTTGAGATAGGAGGATTGCAAGTTCCAGTCCACAGAGGAACACTGCTTACTGGCTTATTCCTCATGGCATGCTCAGCCTGCTTTCCTATACAACCCTGGACTACCTGCTCAGGGTGGCAACCCCCAGGGTGAGCTGGGTCTCCCACACCAATCATTAATTAAGAAAATGCAGCCGGGCGGTGGTGGCGCACACCTTTAATCCCAGCACTCAGGAGACAGAGCCAGGCGGATCTCTGTGAGTTTGAGGCCAGCCTGGTCTCCAAAGCGAGTTCCAGGAAAGGCGCAAAGCTACCCAGAGAAACCGTCTCCAAAAAAACCAAAAAAAGAAAAGAAAAAAAAATGCTCCACAGGAATGTCTACAGGCCAATCTGATGGAGATGAGGTTTTTTTGTTTTGTTTCTCAGTTGAGATTTCCTCTTCCAGGTAACTCTAGCTTATTTCAAGATGATTTTTAAAAACAACTAAGGAAGGCACCCATTTGGAGTCTTGGAATGTACCACCTTTGGGATGTGGCAGCTTTCAGAAAACCTTGAAGGTAATGGGATTATTTTCTTCTATTCTCCATTTCCTCCTTTGTAGGTGTTAGCTATTCTGCCAAATGTTAGTTATTCGGCTGCACTGTGTTCTTACCCTGCACGGAAATGTCACGAAACACAACAGAATCCGCTAATAAGAGTTTTATTAAAGATAAAGGGACAGAGAGTGAACAGGCCTGCAGGAAACACGTGTGTGGAGAAGAAGAAGGAGGAACCGGGAACATGGCGCCGGATTTTAAAGGCTGGGCATGGACAGATCAGCGTCACTACTACACGCAAGCGCGTAGATCACATGGCCATGTTGCGCGCCTACGTAGCCAATGGAACATCAAGGATCTTGGTCACACAAGATGCCCTGACCCAGAAATGGCTATCCTGACCTGGAACTGGCTAGGCGGAAGTGTCTGTCGGGCATATGCGAACACGCCCGACCGTGGGGGCGTGTTGTAAACCTTTCAGTAGGGAGCTGAGGAAGCCCTGAAATGAATGAGTATTTTGACATGGGCTTGGTCATGTTGAGGACTCCAGAATCTTGGATGCAGGGGAATATAGGCCAGGCTCAAGAGGAGTGGCAAAGCCCTCCCATGGGTCCGTAGGAATGTTTACTAACTAATGATGAGTGTGTACAGAGACTAGCAACTGCAGCCTCCTCCTTGCGATGTTTATGGACAGCTCACTTACAGAGACCTCCCACTGAAACTAGGTAACCCCTCCCCAGTGCTGCACCCAATAAACACACTGAGGTTTCCTGGAGCCATAGTATTGGTTGCAGACCCTACCTGATCCCAGCTTTGTGTATCTGTGCCTGTCCATTCTTCAGTCCTTTGCTCTCCTTAGCCAGGGTACCAGGACCCTGGACCCTGGATACCACAGGACACAGCATTCCTGTTTGTTTACTAGACACAGGTGTGATATCTGGAATTCCAGCAGCCATACTGGGTTTTCAGGTGAAAACATGTTCAAATTGGCAGAGCAAGAAGATAGAGGTGTGAGTGCCCAGTAGTCACCCAGCTGCCAATGACTGCCACCTCAGTCCATCTATGAGCTCCCAAGCAAAACTTGATCTATCCCGTATCAGGTCCCAAGGAAAATCAACTCCTGAAACTCCAAAAGGCAGTCTAAATATCCAGACACAAGCTCAATCTGGACTATAGGAGCATTTCTGCAGGTTAGGTAAACGCCAGCCTTCCTCGGGAACTTATGAAACTGGTTCCCATCTACCCCAAAGGAATCATTTCCCTTAGCTCTGACAGAAAGGACATTATGGCTACCTGTGGTGCCTATCAGCCAAAGCAAATGCTGGCCTCCAGGCTCCCTCAGTATCACAAGTACCTGTGACCCATTCCAAAGTCCAGGCCAGCATCCTGGCCTTTCTCAGCTCTTCGCCTACCCAACCCTCTCTCCAGCTCATAGGTTCCCCTCCCCCAGCTGCTCATCCCCCTTATAACCCTGCTATTCGGTTTTTCCTCCCAGGCGGGCTCCTGCCTCTCTCACTAGGTTTTCTCTGTTCTCTGTGCCCTGCTAGACTCCTTCCTTTCACAGACAGCCCTGGCCAGGTCCAGTCTGTTGGTCATGGTCAGTCTCCTCCTTTCTGTCTCTGTTCTGAGCTCTTCCAGATGCCTCTGGCTGTTCCCTCTTTCATCTCTACAATAAAAAACCTTCCCCCTGGCCTGGCGGCGGTGGTGCGCGCCTTTAATCCCAGCACTCGGGAGGCAGAGCCAGGCGGATCTCTGTGAGTTCGAGGCCAGCCTGGGCTACCAAGTGAGTTCCAGGAAAGGAGCAAAGCTACACAGAGAAACCCTGTCTCGGAAAAAAAAAAAAAACCAAACTTCCCCCTAACTATCCCATGGAGCAGTCATGTGGTCAGTTTATACACCCCACACCACCCGCTTATTTTGGTTTTCTGTTATTGGCACCGGTAAAAAGACACAAGTCCTAGTGGTAGCTCATGCTTATAATACCAGACTGAAACAGGACTGGCACCAGTTCAAGGCCAGCCTAGGCTACAGTAAGAAACTCTCTCTCTCTCTCTCTCTCTCTCTCTCTCTCTCTCTCTCTCTCTCTCTCTCTCACACACACACACACACACACACACACACACACACACACACACGCAAAGTTAAATAGGGTATAGTGTTGTACACTGTAATCCTAGCACTCAGGAGGCAGAGGCAGGCAGAACTCTTAGGCCAGCCTGCTCTACAAGATAGAATTCCTAGCCACCCTCCCATGACCTCGAAGCACTGGCAAGACACTTAGTCATCCCGGGGCCTTACGTCCTACATAATCCATGCGCTGTGTGGTCACGTAGTCACGTAATTTGCGTGCAGCGTGATCACATAATCTATGCTCATGCCTGGTGTAGCTAGCCATGTAAGCCCATATGCACATGCACGGGGAATCCATAAAAAGTGGTCACATGCTCCTCCCCATCTCTCCTTACAGGACGATTTCCAGAGGCCTAAGCACTCCCTTCTGTTCTCTTTCCCCTAATAAACTCTTATTTATATAATAAACTCTAGTAGGTTTTGTTGTGCCTCGTGGCTTTTCTGTAATGGTAAACTGCACCGATTAAAAATAACACAGCACCGCATAAAACTAACACTACATAGTTACAGGCCACCCGGGGGCACATAGGGAGACCCTGTCTAACAATAACAAGAGAATGTGAGCAGGACATGGTGAGACTACACCTATAGTTCCAACACTTGAGAGATGAACGGGAGGATGAGTTCAAGGTCATCCATGGCTTATGTGTGGAGTTTGAGGCCAGCCTGGACTACATAAAACCCTACCACACAGAACATCCTGTGCTGGAACTCAATTTGTAGACCAGGCTGGCCTGCTGCTGTCTCCTGAATGCTGGGATCTCTTTCATTTTAGGTGTATGGGTGTTTTGCCTGCAGGTACGTATGTCTAGGCACATGTGCACAGTAGCACAGATGCCAGCAGAGGGCACCAGAAGCCTTGGAACTGAAGTTACAGATGGCTGTAAACCACCATGTGGGTGCTGGGAACTGAACCCAGATGCTCTGGAAGAGCTGCCAGTGCTTTTAACCACTGAGCCTCTCTCCAGCCCCAACCCTTCCTTCCCACTCCTGAGACAGGGTTTCTTTGTGTAGACCTTGAAAGGTTTACAACACGCCCCCACGATCGGGCGTGTTCGCATATGCCCAACAGACACTTCCACCTAGCCAGTTCCAGGTCAGGATAGCCATTTCCGGGTCAGGGCATCTCGCGTGACCAAGATCCGTGACGTTCCATTGGCTACGTAGGCGTGCAACGTGGCCATGTGATCTACGCGCTTGCGTGTAATAGTGACGCTGATCTGTCCACGCCCAGCCTTTAAAATCCGGCGCCATGTTCCCGGTTTCTTCTTCTTCTTCCTTCTTCTTCTCCACACACGTGTTTCCCGCAGGCCTGTTCACTCTCTGTCCCTTTACCTTTAATAAAACTCTTGTTAGCGGATTCTGTCGTGTTTCGTGGCATTTCCTTGCAGGGTAAGAACACAACGCAGCCGAAAAACTAACATTTTGGTGCCGAAACCAAGCGGGCGCTTCCGGGCACCCTGCGCCTGGAAACCCATAACCGGGGACTGCAACACTCTGCTCCGTACGCGACAGACCGCTCTCCATTTTGCCTGACCGCAAAAATTCCATGCAACACCGCTTTCTCCGATTGGTGAGTCCCCCCATTTTTCGGCCAGTGTAAACGGTTTCCTGAATCTGTGAGAACAACCGGTACCTCACAAGTATTCTTGAGACCGGGGGAACCCCCGACCACGGTCTTCATTGGCTACGGTCGGCCCCTATCGCAGGCCTGAGATTTCTAGCCCTCTCCCACGTCTGCAGCCTGAGATATTTCTCGCGTTGGGACCACCGCCGTTGGGTGCGTCCTGGGGGCCACGTGGGGCCGACACGTTCATCCGACTTGACGAAGCGGCAGACGCTGTCCGGATTCCCAGGGAATCCTTTCCTCACGTGGCAGGGGCCCCCGCTTCTGTGGCTGACGAGCCAAGGAGCAGCTTGCACCCGGGATCCGTCCTTGGCCTTGGGGACGCCTGGGGCCTTGGCTCCGGAACACGTTTGTTTTTTTTATCTTTTTTATTTTTCTGCCTCTCCGCTGCAGACATGGGAAACAAGGCTTCCAACCCTGTTAGTCCTTCCTCTCCATTAGGCTGTCTTGTTGAAGCTTTAAAACCTCTCAGTTTAGTGCCTTACATAAAGATTCCTAAGCTAACTCGTCTATGTTCTAAAAAATGGCCAAAGTATTCTTTAGAAAACAACAAAAAATGGCCGCCGAGCGGCTCCTTAGATCCCGATATTTTACGGGAGTTATCTAATTACTGTCAGCGCTCAGGCAGATGGAAAGAGTTGCCCTATGTCATAGCATTTTTCTTTCTCAGTGCTAAACCGTCTCTTCTGGATTCCTTCTCTCCTGCTCATATGCTCCTGGCTATGCCTGAACCGGAGGATTCTCTGACTCCGGAATCTCTGACTCTAGATCCTGCTAACGAACCTCCACCTATTCGACCTCCAGCTCCAACTCCTAGAAAACCGTTCCTTCCGCTCCCCTCCCGGATTCTTCTTCTAAAGCTGCTCCTTCCTCGGCAGCGGCCGGTTCCAAAGGCCCTGCCCTAGCTCCAAACTTCACTCCTCCTATCACCTGCTCTCGGGCTGCTAAATTGCCTGATTCCAGCCATCCAAAACCTTCCACTGTTCTCCCTTTGCGAGAGGTGGCTGGTGTGGATGGACTGATTAAAGTTCATGTTCCATTCTCTCTAGCAGAACTCTCTCAGATAGAAAGTAAGCTGGGTTCTTATACTTCTAATTCTGCTGCCTTTATTAAACAGTTTCAATATATAACTCAATCTTATAGTCTTACCTTTCATGATATATTCATGATACTTTCTAATAACTTACTTCCTGAGGAGCGCAGGCGGGTTTGGGAGCAGGCTAGGATTCACGCAGACGAAATTCATCAAACTAACCTTTCACACCCTGCAGGAGCTGAGGCGGTTCCTGACCAAGAGCCACACTGGGATTATAACACCCAGGGTGGCTGTCTAGCCAGAGATAGGTTTATTACCTGTCTCCTGACAGGTCTCTGTAAGGCTGCCCTAAAACCAGTAAACTATGAAAAACTAAAAATGGTTATTCAAGATAAGGACGAAAATCCATCTCATTTCTTAGAGCAGCTCACCAAAGCTCTACTTCAGTTCACTAGCTTAGACCCGGAGAGCCCTGAGGGCAGGCAGCTGCTAATAACCCAGTTTGTCTCACAGAGCTTCCCTAACATTAGGGATAAACTTAAACGTTTGGAGAACGGCCCTCTAACTCCACAGGCAGATGTGCTAGTGATAGCGTTTAAGGTGTACCATGGTAAAGATGAAAAAGCCCATAAGAGGAGCTGCCAGATGCTGGCAAGCACTGCCCGACCGGCTCTCCGAAAGCCGTCTGGTCCCTGCTTCAAGTATGGGAGAGAAGGCCATTGGGCCCAGGCTTGCACCACCGGCCCACGAAGGGCACCGACAAAGCCTTGTCCAAAGTGTTGCCAAAAGGGTCACTGGTCAGCTGACTGTCCTAATGTCCCAAGCGACATAGGAATGCCAGATGAAGACCACCCTCCAGCTGACTTTGTAGGCTTGGCTTACAGCGAGGACTGCTGCTGCCTGGTTTCCGCCCCGGCCACTCCCATCTCACACAGGGAACCTAGGGTAATTATAAAGGTCAATGGGAGCCCCATCTTGTTCCTTTTGGACACCGGAGCTACCTACTCTGTCCTGAGAGAGTTTTGGGGGTCCACCTCTCCTGCTCGTCTCCCTATTGTCGGGGTTGGGGACAGCCTTATCTACCTCATCAGACACCACCACTCAGTTGCATTTTCAGAGGCATCCCTCTCACACACACATTCTTAGAGGTGCCAAGCTGCCCTGTACCTTTAATGGGGAGGGATCTTCTAGCTAAGGTAGGAGTGTCCATTTCTTTTGCTCCACACATTCGCCTCATCCCAGACGCGCCAGCAGCTCCTTTACTTCTCCTCCTAGCCACTCACTCTTCTGACTCTAACAATTCCTTTCCCCTACCAGTCTCTCAGGTAGACACAGTCTCTCAGGTAGACACACAGAGCCGGAGGCAAAAAGGACCATCAAAAATATCCAGGCGGTAAGGAATAATGTAATACAATAATCTATCATTGTTCGATACTCAGCAACTGATCACCTGCATTTCCTAAATGCTAACCTAATAAGGGAAACCGGTGCCTTAAATAAACTACCTCTAATAAGACTTGTCTCAGATAGAAATTAAGCAGAGTACTAAGGCCAGATCTACCTCAGGTAAATATCACATGTCTCTATCTGGACAGGCCAGATCTACCTCAGACAAATGCCAACTCCAAAATAAAATAATAATGATTCTTTCTCTCTAAGCCTTTTCTATGTCAACAGTATCTTGTCAAACAGAAGGTTCCTAGCCACAGCACGGAGGGTTCCCAGCCACAGCACGGATAGACAGCCGCAGAACGAGGGGACGGCAGAACTTCATTCCAGGACCTGCCCACCAACATCCCAGGACTTCACAAGATACCCTCTCATCCCCCTGCCCCCCAAGAGCCAACCAACGCCCACTATTCAGCTGGAAGCAGTCTTTGAGAGAAACGTTGCCCCCATACCCAGGCAACCACAATTTTTTTTTCTTTTTTTAAAAAGGAAGAGTCAGGGATGAAAGGTTTACAACACGCCCCCACGGTCGGGCGTGTTCGCATATGCCCAACAGACACTTCCACCTAGCCAGTTCCAGGTCAGGATAGCCATTTCCGGGTCAGGGCATCTCGCGTGACCAAGATCCGTGACATTCCATTGGCTACGTAGGCGCGCAACGTGGCCATGTGATCTACGCGATTGCGTGTAGTAGTGACGCTGATCTGTCCACGCCCAGCCTTTAAAATCCGGCGCCATGTTCCCGGTTCCTTCTTCTTCCTCCTTCTTCTCCACACACGTGTTTTCTGCAGGCCTGTTCACTCTCTGTCCCTTTACCTTTAATAAAACTCTTGTTAGCGGATTCTGTCGTGTTTCGTGGCATTTCCTTGCAGGGTAAGAACACAACGCAGCCGAAAAACTAACAGACCTGGCAGTCCTAGAACTCACTCTGTAGACCAGGATGACCTCGAACTCAGAAATCTACCTGCCTCTGCCTCTGCGTGCTGCAAACCTGTCTTCTTAATAGCTGACCCTCAGGCTTCCTGCTCCAGCAGCATAAAGCTAGTATGTGTGTCTGGGTTCTTTTAGGACATGTGATCAATTGTTTGGCCTTAATATTGGCCCTTTGGCCTCTACAGTCGAGAAAAGCCACCATTCCCTGTTCCAGGAACAGCCTCAGGCCTCCCAAGCCCTCAGGCCCAATCCACAGGGCCTGGCTGGACTTACCTCAGACCTGAAGCCCCGCCTGCTGGCTCTAGAAACAGCCTTACTGCATTCTTCTGGCAGGTGTAGCTCTCCTTAGGGGCCTGGAGCGGCTCCAGGGCTGGCTCAACACTAGACGTTCCTCCCCAGGAAGATGAGCCCAGGTGCTGTGCAACCAGGGTCCACCAACCCCCATAAGGCTGTCCCAAGGTGCCACTGGGACCCTGTAAACCCCCTTCTCTCAGCCTAGAGACTCAGCCTCTGGAGAGGACACTTCCTTAGAGGCCTTGTAAGGATGGGAAAGATAGGCAGCCAGTGAGAAATGAAAGTTGGTGTCTGTGAGAGGGACTGCCAAGGTCGTATGAGGTTACGGGAAGAACGGGAGGCAGAGTTCAGGGGCCAGGGTTCTCCACTAGTCCATGCAGTGCCCTGCGGTAGGAAGCCCTGTTCCTCAGCTCCTTCCTTTATCTCTAAAGATCTGGGAAGGGACAAGTCTCTGCACTGTGCTCGCTCCTCAGGGTTACTGTGACCCAAGCATCACAAGAGGACATGTGAGCAATGGCCGGTGACATAGGGCAGTGGGTAGACTGAGAGAATCTCAGGAGAAAAGACGGGTGCACTGGCCACTCAGGTAGCTGATTAGTAGGTCCCCTTAGCAGGAGAACCCAAAGTCACCACCTAGTCCTCTACCCTGAGCGTCCACGGCCCCACCTGGCCCAGTGCCCTCCCCCTGGCATCCCATCACAGATCTTTCGACACCTCTCTTCCATCTCCCAGCTCCACACAATCTCAGATTTGACTCGGATCTGTGCTCTGAACAAGTCCTCTGGTGCCTGGGAAGGCTGGGAGGCAAGTTGCTTACCACTCTCAAAGCCCTGAACTGCTGACTTCCAGATAGCCTCAGCCAAGCAGCCCCAGTGCCCAGACTGCCTGATCCTCCTGTAAGTTAGGCCAGCACTACCTTTCCGGCTCATCCTGACTCGTCTCTGCCACTCCCATCCCTAGGCTCCTTTCAGTTCCAGGGCCTCTTCCACCCTGCCTGGCCTCTCAGCCTCTGGCTGCTGCAGAGCTGGTTTGGGTCCTGAGTACTGTACAGTGTTGTGGAATATCTGTTTAACTGGGTAAAAATGTGTTACATTTGTTTATGCCGCATTCGTTTAACTACGTAAAGATGTGCTGCATTTGGATTTGTGTTAATTAAATAAAATTGACCTGGACTCAGAGAGGCAGAGTTAGCAACGAGTTGTCAGGAAGTAGCAAAGAGGAGAGAACTAGAGGGAAAGAGAGGGAGGTGCCTGAGGCCAGCCAGCCAGGCAGCTACCAGCCAGCTGGACGCGGGAGTAGGACATACAGAATGAAAAAAAGGTTAAAGGCCCCGAGGCAAAAAGAAGAAGAAAAACAGGTTAAATTAAGATGCAAGAGCCAGTGGGAGAAGCATAGGCTAAGGCCAAGCATTCATAACTAATATTAAGTCTCCATGTCTTTATTTGGGAGCTGGCTGGTGGTCCAAGAGAGAAAGTCTGCTACAGGGCAGGACTGGTGTTATACCTCACTACGCCTAAACAGATCAGTCAAGTGTGCTGTAAGCATCTACCTCTTGAACTATACAACCTCCTAAACACAGCAAGGGCTTCCCAGCCAACCCCTGCTTCCCTGAACATGGATTCCACGGGCTAGGAACTGGATGTGGCTCTCCTGAGGCCCCAAGTCCTACCAGTGTCCCTGCTCTCAGTCCCTCATTTCTGACCACTACTGGCCACATGTCTCCAAGGCTCCTCCCCCAGGAAGTCTCCTGTACTGACCTGGTACTGTGTGCTCTGAGGAAGCCTGGTCAGTACCAGAGATGCTCCTGGAGGAACTGGAGTCTGCAAAATGGGAGGCCTGAAGCCAAGCTTCCTGTCCTGTGTTTTAAGAGTAAATGGAATCACCCAGCTCCTAGACCAAGCACTAGCTTGGTGTGGAAAAATTCTCTTGTATACTGTAAAGATTTGTCACTCAAATTGGTTTAATAAAACTCTGATTGGCCACTAGCCAGACAGGAAGTATAGGTGGGGTGACCAAACTAAGGATGGGAAGGAGAAGGGCAGAGCTAAGGGTCACCAGCCAAATGCAGAGGGACAAAATGAACATGACATGTTAATAAAGGTGCCACCAGGTGGCAGAGCATAAATAAGGAATGTGGGTTAACTTAAAATGTAAGAGTTAGTTAGTAACAAGCCTGAGCTATTGACCAAGCATTTATAATTTACATTCAGCCTCTAAGTCAGTTATTTGGGACCAGGAAGTCAGGACATGGAAAACCTCACCTACAAATGGTGCCCACTGTCCAGCATAGATCCACATAAAACCTGAAAAAGCTTTAAAAAGGTTCTAAACACACAAAAATGGAGACATTTTGACTTAAATTTTGAAGTCAAGATATTTTTAAAATATATAGGTTGGTTGAATCTAGCAGACTTGGATTCCTAGTCTCATGTCTCTCATGCCAGCCACAGTATGGAGACACATCTCCTGGTAGCTGCCATGAGCTAAGCCGTATGGTGGGTCCCTGCAGTCTCTCACATGTGCAGAGGTACAGCAAGTCATCTTTCAGCTGCTGCCTGCAGGTTTAAGCTCCCAGCACAAGCTCCACCAGCAAGTCGTATGGTGGGTTTGGGGATTTTGCTCATGTAAGTCAGAAAAAGTTACTGATATGCAGTAAAGACAGATTCAGATGGAAAAAAAGCCTCTAAACAGGTTACATTGTATTTAAAAATACACAGGCTTGGGAGAGAAAAGAAAAAGGGTAGAGAAAGTCCTTACAAAATAGTGTAATAAAAAATGTAAGCTATGGGGGCTGGTGAAGTGGCTCAGTGGTTAAGAGCACTGGCTGATCTTCCAGAGGTCCTGAGTTCAAGTCCCAGCAACCACATGGTGGCTCACAACCATCTGTAATGAGATCTGGCACCCTCTTCTGGCCTACAGGCATAAATGCAGGCAGAACACTGTATACATAATAAATAAATAAATCTTTAAAAAAATGTAAGCTATATATAGAGGGAAAATACACAGAGAGTCTGGATCCTGTATGTTATTGTGTTGTCTTTGAATTTTTTTGGCTTCTAAGAGACACTGGATTATGAAAACTGATAGATTCAACCAACCTACATATTTTAAAAATATCTTGACTTCAAAATTTAAGTCAAAAGATATGTTAATTTGGGGAAAGGTTATGCTTTTATTCCCACAGGAAATGAGAGGCTGTGGATTCATTCTGGTTAAGAAAAATCAGGTCAAGCCGGGCGGTGGTGGCACATGCCTTTAATCCCAGCACTTGGGAGGCAGAGGCAGGTGGATCTCTGTGAGTTCGAGGCCAGCCTGGTCTCCAAAGTGAGTTCCAGGAGAGGCGCAAAGCTACACAGAGAAACCCTGTCTCGAAAAACCAAAAAAAAAAGAGAAAAAAAGAAAAAGAAAAATCGGGTTTGATCAAGAAAGACCCCCTGAAAAATCTCCAGTGGGAATGGATGGCCCAGGTGATTCAACGTTCCAGAACAGCTTCAAGGCTGAAGGCTGAGATGATCCAGCCCCACAAAATTCTCCAGCCAGGACTTAACCATAATCCTGAATTTTCCCAGGGTCTCCAAAGATTACCAGTACTCCCAATCATCAGGAAGTAGTCTAGAAAACTATGCCCACATGCCCCTCCCAAATGGGTTATGGATATTTATTATCATTTTAGGGGAGTTGGTTACAAGTTGTTATGGATAATGGTAAGGAAAAAAGCTAAACAAAGGAGATTAGATTTAGGGATCTTATTCTGAAAAGATAAAGGGAAGATAAAGAAATGACAGGATAAAAGGGTAGATTACTGAATCTATTTTAATCCAAAAAAATCTATTACTCTTACATATTTTACATTGGTATGGATTTTAGTTTATTGATACAAATTTAAGGTTAGTTTTGTAATATGTAAATTTCTACTCTTGTTTAAGATATTATGTTTATGCAACTCATTTAAAAATGTAATGTATAGCCGGGCGGTGGTGGCACACACCTTTAATCCCAGCACTCGGGAGGCAGAGGCAGGCAGATCTCTGTGAGTTCGAGGCCAGCCTGGCAACAAAGCTAGTTCCAGGAAAGGCGTAAAGCTACACAAAGAAACCCTGTCTCAAAACAAACAAACAAAAATGTAATGTATAATTAAGAAATACAGATTATTAGCCATCTATTAGTCAAACTTATATTCATGTTAGGTTTTCTTGTATACAGAGATGTATTTCAGATAGATAGGTAATCTTCAAATACTTCAAAGACCTACTGAACATGGGGTTTAAGACAGTGAGATACGTCTGCTTCTGATAGTGCCAATGTACTCCAGAGAAGATGATGGGAATCAAAGAAATTCCATATGGAGTTTGTTTTCTTTATGGCAAAAGCTAGCCACATAGACAAAGAAACTGTCCTTGCTTCAATTGCTGACAGTTACTGTCCAAACTGAACCAGTAGGACACACAAAAAAGTGACTGCTGAACTTTGCCAAGATATGGTAGGACAGTCCTTCAAAATTCCCTGCTTCACAGGAAAATCTGTCAGATATGCTAGGCCTGTAGGTCAAAGATGGATGCCTCATCATCGCAGAGAAACTTTGAGTTACTGTCCAGGCAACCTGATGTCCCTGTCATTAGGAAACATTTCATCCTTCTGGAGTCTTTGATGAAGTTGAAGACTAGATAGTCATAGTAATAATTTTCCTTAGGTATGATAAAAGGGTAAATTAGATATAAAACTTTGGACTCAGCAAGATGGGATGGATAATTAAAAGTTTTCTCCTATTTTGTCAAATACAAATAGACTGGATATTGTAACTGTAATCCTTACTTGATAAGTATTAATCTAACTATGTTAAAGTTAAAACCTTCCTTTTTATATACTGTAAAGATTTGTCACTCAAATTGGTTTAACAAAACACTGATTGGCCATTAGCCAGGCAGGAAGTATAGGTGGGGTAACCAAACTAAAAATGATGGGAAGAAGGGCAGGGTCAAGGGGTCACTAGCCAGATTCAGAGGGAGCAGAAGATGAACATGCCATGTTAATAAAGGTACCACCAGCCGGGCAGTGGTGGCGCATGCCTTTAATCCCAGCACTCGGGAGGCAGAGGCAGGTGGATCTCTGTGAGTTCAAGGCCAGCCTGGGCTACAGCGCGAGCTCCAGGAAAGGCACCAAAACTACACAGAGAAACCCTGTCTCGAAAAACAAAAAAAATAAAATAAAATAAAATAAAAAAAATAAAGGTACCACCAGGTGGCAGAGCATAAATAAGGAATGTTGGTTAACTTAAAATGTAAGAGTTAGCTAGTAACAAGCCTGAGCTATCAACTGAGCATTTAGAATTTATGTTCAGCCTCTGAGTTGTTATTTGGGACCTGAAGGTTGGGACATGGAACCATCCATCTACAGCAGCTATCTCAGGATGCACCAAGTAAAGCCAATTCTGGCGTCCTCTCAGCTTCCAGGTACCTGCCCTGGCTGTCCTCTACTTTCTCCCACACACCCCTCCATTCACCTTGGCTCCAACTGTAACTACACCATGAGCAAGGGCAAAGCAGACAATTCCATGCCAGAGGCAGACACAAATCAGACTGTTTATTGCAAGAATATGATCAACATTCCATTTAAGTGGCCCCAGGTGAGGAGAGGCTGGGCCTCTCAGCCTCGAGCTGAGCAGGGAAGATGGGAAGGACAGGGGACCTTCTTCATCTGGTCAGGGCCTCAGAGCTGTGAGAGGATGTTGGGGGCCAGGCTGCAGGTGAGGCCTGTACCATCCGGCTCCACATTCAGGGCCTTCACTATGCCATTGTCTACCACCATGGAGAACCTGCAGAAAGGAGGTACAGCTGCAGAAGCCGAGCCAGCTGCCTGGGTCCCTAGTGCCAGTGGGGAATGCCCCCACTTTACCTCTTCAGCCGGCGATTCCCAAAGAGAGACACCAAAGAATCATCCAGTAATAAACCTGTCTCCTGGAAGACAGGCAGAGATGGGTGTCGAGAGCCCCCAAACAGGTCAGGGGCTGCTCCCCACATAACGACTCCCTCCAGGACCAACTGCAGGCTGAGGGAAGTGTGATACACTCACCTTCCCAAAGGCCCCAGTGGGGTCAGCCAGGAGCCGAACCTGAGGGAGAGAGTAATGTCACAAGGAAACCTCCAGTGCCAGTGAGATGTCTCAGTGAATACAGGCACTTGCTACCAAGCCTGAGGACCTGAGTTCAATCCCCAAGACCCGACATCGCAGGAGAGAACCAAGTCTCATAGGTTATCCTCTGACCTTCACTTAAGTACCATGGCATGAGTGCCCCCCCCCCACATAAAATAAGTAAATAAAATGTAATGAGAAACAAGGAAACCTCCTACCTGGGCCTGACCCCTCACAGACCCCACACCTCACCTTGCCTTCCGCCTGGTGGGCTCGACCCCACTCTTGAGTCACAAAGACGTCATTAACACTCAGACATGCCAACACCTGCACTCCCTTGGCCTTCAGAGCCCCAGCTTGCTCCACGAACCCAGGCAGGTGGGTCTAAGAGGAAAACACAGGGTCAAAACAAAGACAGCTGCTGGAGTTCCTGAGCCGGCTCTTTAGCTTCCCATGCTCTAAAACCTCTGATCAGGCTAAGGAAAGCAGTGTGTGAAACATGCTATTTCCTTTTCACCTTGGCTACTCGGAAGGTTGAACCTAAATATCTGTGGTCAAGAACATGAAATTCCCATGGGCAAAACTCTTGTCTCATTAGCACAAGTCCCAAGTAATTTTTCAGTTCTTCGGTGAGCGGGATCAATCAGAGGTGTTAGATTTAACTCGAGTCCTTTTCTCCCACACTCCTGATTCTGGAAAGAAGCCTCACCTTAGAACAGCCAGGCGTGAAAGCCCCAGGCACTCCAAACAGGACTCCTTTCTTGCCCTTGAACAGGTCTGCCAGGTTCACCTTCTTCCCAGGCTCCCCTTCAAACACCTCCACCGAGGGGATGGCATCTCCCACCTGGAGACAAGGACTCCAGGGTAAAGGGGGGTAAAGAACGGCCCAGTAAGCCACATCCAGGCAGACACAGATCTTGATGGAGCCCGGGGCTGACACCCAGCAGAGAAAATGCCGCCTGTCAGTTTCCAGGGGTCAATCCCTGTCCTCTGTATCTCCCAGTTGCCCCACATCTTACAAGCTTCAAGAAAGCCTGGCTTTGCTTAAGCCTGGCAACAGAGAAAGGGAGAGGCCTCCCCAAGTGTCGCAAGGCTATGTCAACAAGCCACCCAGGATGGATCAATGCACAGAGAGGAGCACAGAGGGCTGTGCTTGGCATTGAGAAAGCGCCGGGCAACAGGGAGGGAGGACATCCTGTCCACACAACGGAAAGCCAGGGAAGACAGAAAGCCAGGGAAGACGCCCAAGTCAAAGGCTCTCAGGGTAGGTGGGGAGTGTCCACCTACCTGGAGGCTTCCTGAAGCCACAGGAGGGAACAAAAGGAAGGGAGGCTGGGGTCAGCAGGTAAAGGTGTTTGCCACCAAGCCTAACCCCCCATAACCAGACAGAACTGACTCCTGAGAAAGTTGTCCTCTGACCTCCACATGCACATGTGTGTTCCCAAATACACACACTAAATACATATTAAAAAGTGTTTTTTCGAAAAAGAAAGGGCCTTTAATCCCAGCACTAGGGAGGCAGAGCCAGGCGGATCCCCGTGAGTTTGAGGCCAGCCTGATCTACCGAGCTAGTCCAGGACAGGCACCAAAACTACACAGAGAAATCCTGTCTCGAAAAACCAAAAAAGAAAAAAAAAAAAAAAAAAAAAAAGGGATAAAGTCCAAGAAGCTTCCAGAAAGGCCAAACAGAAGCAGCGGGGGAAACATTCACAGAGGGGAGACAGCAATGGGAAAAAAAGAGAAAACAACAAAAAACCAACCCGGTCTCCAAGAGACCACCTCTCTTTCAAAAGATGCAGTGAAGCGGCATCTAGTACTATCACGAATGGGGCTCTGGAGAGGGGTATAAGAGGTTTGAAAAGCGGCCACGCAGCGAGAGAGAGATTTCAAGAATGTGGAAAATGACATAGCATCTGTCGCCTGGCAATGGTAGGGACCTGTCCCTGGACGTCGCAGTTAATGTGACAAGGAGGGTCAAGGAATGTCCCGCGACGGAGGGGCAATAAGGGGGGTCTTACAGAAAGCCTGACAGGGAGAAAGCGTCAAGGAGGACAGCTCGAGACCCTGCGAGCAGTCCAAAATGCCGCAACAGGGTGGATCCAGGAGAATTAGGACCGGTCACCTTGATCGGGGCCATAGCCACTGCGGCGCTGCTGAAGCTGCGGGCCCCGCTAGGCTCCCACCCTGCTGCTTCCCGGCTTGCTCGGCCTGCTTCGCACGTCCAGGTAGCAGCTGAACGGAGCACCGAACCGGCAATGCCGCCCAGGACGCGTATCCTAGGGAGTAGCATGTCAAGCCCGTCGCCGCAGCCCCCGGCTCGCCGCTAGGTCGGCCCACCAGAGGCGGGTGCCGAGTTCGCTCCGCCCACGCCAGCCCGCCGCACCGACCACGCGGGTTGATAGAGACTAAGCCGTGACGCATTATGACGCGGTGGGGCTTGCAGAGGTCGTGCGCCTTATTTGCATGCAGAGAGAGGCGCCCGATTTACCGATGCAACAGTTTCTGACCCTGAGCCGCAAACAGGGGTTGGGGTATAATCTGGCTAAGCCTCGAATGTGCTTTACACTCAACGAGAGCCCCGCAGTGCACTTGCTTTGCATTGTACATGCGATTTATAGCGAGCGGGGCTCGGCGTACACCGTTGTACTCTCCCTGAGAAACACTTCCGGTATCAGGACTTGACCCAACTCAGTCTTGCCCACCCCTTCGCTGCCGCAAAACCCCAGAAGTTCAGCAACTTCACCACTTCCGGCCCGGGGGGGGGGGGGGGGAGTCCAACGGCTTCAACAGCGGAAGTGGCATGTGAAGTGTGGACTCCTTCCGCTTCCGGCCGCGCGAGCTCCAGTGTGGCAACATGAAACTGCTCACCCACAATCTCCTGAGCTCGCATGTGCGGGGCGTGGGCACGCGTGGCTTTCCGCTGAGGCTGCAGGTATTTGCATGAGGGTCTGTCGCCCTTGTAGCTCAGGATAGAGACACCGGGCCCGACCCTACCTCGCTAAACCTTTCCTCCCCGCAGGCCACCGAGGTCCGCATCAACCCCGTGGAGTTCAACCCCGATTTCGTGGCGCGGATGATCCCTAAAGTGGAGTGGGCGGCGCTTGTGCAGGCGGCGGACACCGTGAGAACCCCCCCCCCCCCCCCCCCGTCACCCCGGGGGCGGGCTCGGGCTCTCGGCCTGTTCCCTGCCAGGGCCTAGTGGAGTTTGTATGCCCGGTGACCACATGTCTCTTTCCCACAGTTAAACCTGGAAGAGGTACCCAAAGAGCCGACTGAAGGCTATGAGCACGACGAGACGTTTTTGAGGAAGATGCACCACGTGTTGCTTGAGGTGAGAATCCTGCCTGTCACTTGCCTATCGCTCCTACACAGAGGCTCCGGGTGCTCAGCTTTGTCTTGCTCCCCCACAGGTTGATGTGCTCGAAGGCACCCTGCAGTGCCCAGAATCTGGCCGTCTTTTCCCCATCAGCCGCGGGATCCCCAACATGCTGCTGAATGACGAGGAGACTGAACCGTAAACTAGCTAGCCATCACTTTGACGTTTTGTGGTGTGTATCATTTGTACAGTCCGTTAACTCTGTATGTCATGTATGACCCCATCTCCCCCAGTGACTCACCGACCACCATGTACTTGAGCTCCATAGTATATTTTTTTTTTCTCATTAAAGGTTCAAAACCAAAAGCGGTTTCTCTTTGCAGCAAATATACATTAAAATAGAGTCTCTGTACAGCCAAGGGCTCTGGGCCCCGGCTTGCCCCACGGCCCTGCGCCTCCCTGGCCAAACCCAAAAATAAATATAGTGTTATTGCTCTGCAGGGCATAGAGGCAGTGCTGTCCCCCACCCCTTGAGGTGGGAGCTGATGGGGGGCCCGGGCCACCCCAGGGGTCCAGGGGCTGGAGCCTGCTTGGAGTTATTGCTTCGAGGGGGGGCACTAATGCCCAATGCGAATGAGAGGAGCCAAGGGGACAGGGCCTTTGCTTTCCAAGTCCCCCTCAGCTCTGGAGAGGGGGTCGATTAAGCAGCAGCAAAAGCATCGCCCACTGGGAGACTGTGGCCTTTCTCCATCCCCTTCCCTCCCTGAGATCAGTTTCTGCCTCCCACATCCCCTGCAGCCCCCTATGGCTTCCGCAAGGCCCCCTACACTCTTGGGGGCACATTATGGCTTGCAAGGGGCAGCACTGTGCCCACACCTGGGCATTCACTTTCCTGGCTTCTGACACCCCCCGGGGGGGAGGGGAGGGCATGAAGCCTGCTCCCAGGGGCGGATGGCATTGCCCTGGCCCTGCCAGCAGGCTGTGGCACTGCCCAGACTCCAGCTTTGCCCCCTTGGGGCTGACACCCCATGCTGGGCAGATCCTGCCAGCCACCCCACCCTGTCCCACCCCTTGCCTCAGTCCATCATGGCCTCAAGCATTTCCAAAAACAGCTTGTGCATGGGCACCTTGCCCTCCAGCTTCACCCCATAAAAATGGGCCAGGACTTTGCCTGCTGTCTGGCGGAGGAGCGGCAGTGTGAGCAGCAGCCTGCCCGCTCGCCTCCGCTCAGCACCCCCTCCAGGGCCAGCCCGGCCAGCTTCATACTCCAGCAGGGCCTCGTGCAGGGCTTCACGTAGCTGCTCCACAGCCTCAGCATCTTCAATATGCACAGAGTCTGAGGAGGGAAGAGAAACATTGGCGGAGGTGACCTGTCACACCTGTGACCTTCACATGTTTGGATACTGCTGGATAGGGATAACACACTGCTCTGCCTGTGCACCAGGACCCATCCCTTCTCACCTGTGGCCACCTCTTGTCCTCCACACCTTCCCTCTCACTACCTCCTTGTCAGCACAGCACTAGGGCTCAGAATCCTGTGTACAATCCAGGACCTTGGCTTACTTGGCGATTTTCAGTGATGAAGCCTCAGTTGTCCTAATCTATAAATAGGGACCGTGCCACCACCGTTGACAATTGGAGGGCCTTATGGGGAGACCTGTGTGTGCCTTCCCTGGACACTCACCAGAATTGGCAAGGGCCAGAGCCTTCAGCAGGACGTACTCCTCCCGCTCCAGCCGTAGGGCTTGCAGTCGCCGTACCAGCTGCAGCAAGGCTGCCCCCAGATCCCCCAGACCAGCTGCCCGGGCCCCCTCTTCATCCAGGACCAGGTCCTCGGCAAATGCCAGCTCATCCTGCAGCGGCAGTGAGCGCTGGGCCACACCCAGCACCAGCACCTCCATCCACACACTCTGCAGTACTGACATCTGGTCAGACAGTGACAGTGAGGAGAAGCCTGGAGGAAAACCAGGAAAGGACAGGTCGAGAATGCAGCAGAGCCAAACGTGGCCTACCTGTTCAGAGATGCCCTGACCACCAAGCCCTTCACCTGGGATGCTCTTGGCCCAGCTGATGGTGACCACTATCTCTCGATCGAAAAGGTCACAGAGAGTCGCCACGGCAGGAAGCTGTCCGTCAGGGCTTGCTGGGTCAGGCATGGCATACAGCTTCTCAGGCTCAACCACCAGCAGATGAGACACCAGTGCATTAACTGGGGCTACAGTGACAGGTATAGGACCAGAGTCATGAACACAGATCTGGCAGACCTCTGAAGCCCCCCAGAGCCAAGTGTCTTCGCAGACATTCCCCTCTGGCCTTCCTTGAAAGCCACTGGTAAGCCTGAAGACACAGTGCTCACTTCCTCAGAGAAAGGTTGTGTGCCCCAGAAAACCTTTCCCTGGGGCATGGGCGTAGCTTGCACACAGCCCCAGTCTAGTCTAGCATTTAGTAGGCTCAGGTTCCCCCAACAACCTAAAAAAAAGACAAAAGCAACCCCTGTGCTGAATTATTGTTGTCAACTTGACACGTGTCTGGGAAGAAGGACTCTTAACTGAGAAAGCACCTCCATAAGATGGGCCCATAGGAAGTCTGTAAGGCATCTTCTTGACTGATGATTATGTGGAAGAGTCCTATCTACTGAGGGTGGTATCATTCCTGGGCAGGTGGGCCCGAGTTGTGTAACAAAGTGGGCTGAGCAAGCCAAGAGGATTAAGCCAGTAAGCAGGGTTCTTCCATGGCCTCTGTATCAGCTCCTGCCTTGAGTTCCTGCCCTTATTTCTCTCAGTGATGGAGTGTGACCTCGGAGCTATAAACTGAAATAAACCCTTTCCTCTCCAAGTTGCTTTTGGTCATGGTTGTTTTGCCACTGCAACAGAAACCCTTCTACTTGGGAATCTGACCTGTAAAGCAGTTTATTGTTCTTGAATGACTTTTTTTTTTTTTAAACATTTAATTGGTTTTTTTTTTTTAGATTTATTTATTATGTATACAGTGTTCTGCCTACATGTGTCCTTGCAGGCCAGAAGACAGCACCAGATTTCATTATGGGTGGTTGTGAGCCACCATGTGGTTGCTGGGAATTGAACTCAGGACCTCTGGAAGAACAGTCAGTGCTCTTAGCCACTAAGCCATCTCTCCAGCCCTTGAATGACTTTATAATCACCTATGACCCCAAACTCCTAATCCTGGTTTGCCTCCTGAGCACTGGGATTAAAGTGTGCATGTGGTGTGTGCTGTGCTAAGAATCAAACCTAGGACTTCATGCATGCTAGACAAGCACTCTACTGCCTGAGCTACATCCTTGGTCCGTGGAGATATTTTTATTCTAATTATTTCTTGGGGAGAAATAAGAGAAGGTAAGACCTGGGTCTAGGGCATGTAAGGAAACCAAAGAGACCTCTCCAATGGCTGGCCCACCACTACCCCAAAGCTTAGGAACCCAGGATCTCACCTGTCTTCCGGGGGCCTCCAGCTACTGCCAGAGGACCAGCAGGGAAGGGGCCTGGGAAAGGCAAAGGGTCCACCTCTGGCCGCCGCTTGTACTTCTGTCGCCCACCTCGGACACGGTCCAGACGCACACCTTGAATTGTAAGACCAGACTGTGTCCATAAAACACCTGCCCCACAGAGTCCTACTCCCCCACCTTCTCCCCAGGCTTCCACCCAACCCACCGACCACCCCCATCCCACTCAGGCACTGCCCAGCGCTCACCCTCCTTGAGCATGCCCACCCGCAGGCACTTGGTGAAGCGGCAAGCCTGACAGGCCTTGCGTCTCCGCTTGGTGATCTCACACTCATTGGAGGCCGGACAGCTGTACTCGATGCTCCCTGCCAGGAAGAGGCAGGGCTCCAGTGGCGGCCTCCCAGAGCCCGGAGGGGGCCCAGATGACAGGAGAGCCCTGACTCACCCTGGGCAAACACCAGTCTGGGGGTATGGGGAGGAAAGGGAGAGCAGGATGCCATGAGCAGGGCAGGGAGGGGGACAGCCACTGGGCTGGGGGAACCCTGCTTGCATGAGGCCAGGCCCTGGAGGTCAAGCTGCGTATTTGTCCTAAAACCATACTGCTGGGTTACAATGTCCTCACCTGCTGTCAAGGGCCACAGCAACCTCCAGGCTAAATCCAAGGCTCCATTGAGTCCTGAACTCCTTGCCTAAAGCATTGCTTTTGGCTCCTAGAAACCCTTCAATGTGGTCTTCCTTTGCTTCTGGGACAGGCTCTCCTGGTCCCCCTACCCTCTGGCAACTCTATGGTTTCTGTATAACGACCTAATGCAGTCCCCAGGGCTGTCCTACCTCTTTCTCCCTATCTCCCAGACTTCCAGGTTTGCAACTCTAGCACTGTGCTCTAGATGCACATATCCAGCAGTCCCAGGACACCCCGAGGGTCCTCCAATCCACCCTGATGTAGAAGGACCCCACCTCTCCTGTCAAGTCTCCAACCACCTTCCATTGCCCAAGAAACCTAAGTAGCATCGTCCCTCCTCTCAGCCCACTGGCAGTGTTGGGAGTCTCACCTTCTCGCCCACCAGAACCCAGCTCCTGCCTGCAGCTTCCATCCTGACCTGTCCTTGGCTGTCTCTATTCTCTGCAAAGCAGCAGGGGAGGGATCCTGTCCTCTGATCAAATTCCCCAGTCAGTTCTCTTAAGTATAAGCCCAAGTAAAGCAGTGTTCTACAGGTTCCCTCAGCCTAGCTTCATTGTCTTCTAATTCTGTTCTGCACTGCATGCTCCTGAGACAGGGCCAGCCTCAGGGCATTCTGTTCCTTGCCTGGAGCTCTGGTCCAGAGGGCCATGTTTGCTCCCTTACTTCCTATCACCTTGGAGAGGCCTTTCCTCAGCCTCCTGTGACAAGTCCCTTTGCAGCTACTTCTGGCCTACAGAAACTCTCAGGTTTATCACCATCTGATATAGAACACGTGTGCTCAGTTACCCTGTGGCTTCAGCTCTTGTTTTGTTTTTTGAGAGTTTCACTCCATGGCCCAGCCTAGTCTGGAACTTGCAACAATCCTTCTGCCTCAAGTCTCATGGGCATAAGCCACCACACCTGGCTGTTTTGTTTTTAGTTTTTGTGGGATTTGTGTGTGGTTGCAAGCACATGGAAGCTCTGAGTTCATGTAAGGTGTCTCCAACAATGGCTCTCAACTTTTTTTTTTTTTCCTGAGACAGGGTCTCGCTATGTAGTCCTTGTTGGCCTTAAACTCACTATATAGACAAGACTGGCCTCAAACTCTGCCTCCTGAGCACTGGGATAAAAGTGCACCCAGCATGTGTGACTTCTCCACCTTGTATTTTGAAACAAGGTCTTTCCCTGAACCTGGAGCTCACCGACTCAACTAGAGTACCCCAAATCCTCCTGTCGCTGCCTTCC